TCTGATGAGGTTCAAGCTGGTGTCTCATTAATAGTGACAATCTGGGGACAATGTACCCACCCTACATGTCAGCACTGGGCACATTTACATTTCTGCATGACAGTTTGTGTTGTGCGTCGACACAATGAGCCCTTGTCACGATGAGGAAGAATAACTCCCTGTATCATACCTGTAAATATGCTGAATATTTGTGACTTTTCATCGCTTTTTAAATGTAAGATGATACCAATATGACTTGTAACTCTAAAAAAATGCTTTCTTCAGTTTTACAATATACCTACTGACATGTTTATGACATTCAGAATTCATGTGCAACTTGGCAAGTGCACCCAAAGTACTCTGTCACAATACAGACCTGTTACAAACTTCTTAAAAGGCTTCTTTATGGATGGAGTTGAGTCCTTGTTTCGAATTGAGCATGGTAGAAGGGTGATGATGGGTCAAATGTGTGTATGTGTTTGATGTGTTTTAGTGTTGGGAATTGGTTGAAATCTCACAATTGATGATTGGTTTATTACCAACGAGCTATCATAAAAAAAATTGGTTAGCGTCATTTTTACAATTTTCCTGTTCAGGTTGTTATTGCAGATAAGAATAACATGGTTCCCTGTTGCTTTTTGTCTTACTTAGAGATTGCGCAAATTGCATTTGCGACTTTCACATCCAAAGTAAAATGATGCAACTTGCTACTTTTAACTGATGACTAATATTACGTTAATATAACACCTCCCACAGAAATATTCAGTTATGACTTTTCAGTAAATGAAGTGAAGTTTCTAAGAATTAAACCTGTTTTAAGGCCCTGACAACTTTTAAGATATGATCCACCTTCAAGTAGGTCCAAAATCGTTTGTGTTTGATTATGAGAAAATGTGATCAATTGCTTGGTCGTTTGGTAACGGCGACCAATCTTCGATTATTTCAATTAATCGGACCACCACTAATGTGTTTCCTGTGTATGAAATATGGACCTTGCATACCACAGATACTGTTTTTTTCACTGCAAATTTCATGCATCCCTGCATTCATAGTGAACTGGAAACTTACAAATATTTCCAAAACTGAGATATAAATTTCCTGGATGATTTTCTCAAACTCACCTTCCATGAAATCGATGATGCTACTTTCCATATCCATGTGAAGACATGCGTTTCTATGTTTCGGATGGGATACGGTGGCCAGCATGGTCTGGCCTTATCCAATCACAGTGTTCGCGAATAGTGTCTGACCCTCTGACAAATCCGGCAGATTCGCCAACGGTCGGATAGAAGTCTACAACCCACCGGCCCCAGTGTCCAAATGTATATTTCACAATGACTTTGACTGAAGTTCTTATATGTGACATGTGACACTTGTTTGCTATTTTTTTCATCTTAATTTTTCTTATGTTTGTTAATAATTGCAATGCCACATTATAAGAAATGTTAAATCTGAAATGTGTGTTTAATTTTATTCCATGGGTCCTGTGAATTTTCAATGGGTCAGACAGACATCTTAAACTTACAGGACCAAATGTCCTGTTACTTTGAAACACCCTTCGTGAACACTGCAATCATATTTGGAGTATTGTATTATCTTAGGAAGAAGAGTAAAGCTAGCCAAACTTGTTATCAGGATGGTCTCGCATTCATCAAAGCACCAAATGCATCATAAAAGAGCTTTAGGACAAGGTTTTATATCAGATATCTGTGCAAAACTGAAATACTAATACATATATGTCAAAATATTCATGGATACTAAATCAAATGAATCGAGAATCGTGTGTTGTATCACGCAAAGTTTGCTTGAATTGTGACATTTCTAGCTACCATTGAAGCATAAAGTGAAAGTAGGTAGGTGTTGCTACCTACTGTGACATACATATAATAAAATGGCAGGTAGATTTGCAAGTATCAATCTGAGTTGAGCGAAGTCTTATTTTCAGCCACAAATATCATAAAAACAACGCGCTGAAACCGACCACCACAATTAGCATAGCATTTATGAATGAACTGTTCATGGTTTGGGTGTAAGGTCATGTCATCACTGCCAGCCAACGTCATCGAAAAGAAAGGGTTCGACTCTCGTCACTAGCAATGCTGACAGTGGTCTGTTTACAAACACATCATTACTTCAACACCCATTCAAAAACGTATAAGGCACTCGCAAACAGTTTAATATTGTCATGATAGCTACCTTCACAGAAAAAAAATAAACAGAGCTTATGACAACCGGAAGTGTAAGATCTTACCTCGGCCATGGTACCCCGATGTTGAATTCCCCATGACGGAGGCGACAGCTTGCCGTGCGTCCTTGGGAGATTGTTCGCAAAGTGGATATTAAAATATACCCCTGATATCAAGGCTTTATTCGATCCAGCATCAAGCACTCCGAGCTCGTTTTTCCACCTGCAGACGCCATTCTGACCGGAAGTGCGCGAAATCAAATTCTTCGTCGCTTAACTCATGCGTTTTATATATATAACACATACTTTAACACACACTGCACGGTGTTAGTTTTATAATTTGAAGTACATTGGTGCTGATAATTGCATTATTTCATCATTTGTAGAATGTCTATAAAGTCATTTTTGTTGAGTAGATGTGGGACAGGTGTTTCAGGGGACATAACTCTATTTAATTCTGCTTTGGGAACACGTTACTTCCAGAAGTGATAAGAGTACAGAATATCTTGATCGTATGATATTGTTATTTACGGTAATCATTCTTGGCCAGTTTCCATATTACCATTTGTATATTTCTGCCTTCTTCATCCTCAGCCTCGTGAAGACGTGCATCCTAATTTGAATGTTTTATTTCGAATGTCCCACAAAGTATTGTGTCCAAATAGTACGTTTTGGAAAAGTGCTTACTGAAGTTACTCGCTTTATAACGAGGTGTATGGACACCTGTAAATACTCGAATGATGGCTTGCTTTTATATTAGTATAAAGTTGTCTTTTAAAAAGTTTTACAGTTATTGTGATTTACGAGAATACAACGGATGTTGGTTGTTAAACATTGCTAAAGGTCACATGCAACGTAAAACACAACTTTGCAGATTCTGATACCTTTCGGTATGGACTTACCGAAACAAATCATCAAAAATGCAAATTCAACTTATAAAGTTGAAAAATAACATGACGAAAAAACATGCGAAATCGGATTTCAAACGATTCACTAATTTTCCCCCAGAGCTTAGGGGAAAACAGGTTTCAACAGCTGGGCTGGGCTGTGCTCATAGCACATGCACAGTGAAATGAATCGGGTTGTCCGGTGAATACTCGGTGAAGGCTTTGGTGTGAGCTATTTTTCTAATGTTTTGTTGATATTTCACAGGTGCGAGCTTTTTATATGTTATGACAGTAGATTACCGATTTAACTGTTTATATAATTTCATTTGTCTATTTCACCACACGTTCTTCTTATCTTAAAAGCAATGTCATTATTTAGCGCTGACAGAATTTCTAACTGTGATATAGATACGTCGTTGTCACAGACAAAACTCAATGTCTGTTTTATTGACACCTATGTGTCTGCCTGCCTGTCTGCTATTGACAATATTCAATACACAACTTCGATCACTGACCACATGAAATTTGAACTTAACACCTATCAGGCTATACACCATAAACAAAAGGCATTGATTTATGGCCTGAGTTTGGTCTCTGTCACATTATGTAATTACACCGACAGGCAGGTGTGATACTTGTACACATGACATGTTATGATGTCTGTTGATTGCAAAATGTTATACACAAAAAAAGGAGCATGTATTTACAAAACCCAACAGCTTTATATATAATATACACACACACAATGAGCCATGAGGGCATCTGCAAATGAACTAGCCGTTACACTTGAGTGCACACCCACCCGCTCTGACTGGGTTCGGTATCCCGGCTGCATCGTTTCATGGGAAGTAAACCCAAGTACAAAATATTGCACTTTTGATTTGCGATTGTACGCTTATAATTTTGTTTATATGTTTTTTTCATAATCAGCAATGTATATTATATGTCATGAGTAAGTGATAATTGTGTTATAATTATGTTTGAATTTTTGGTTGCATGTGACCTTTAAAAGGGAAACAAAACTCCAACATTGAAAACATCGAAATATGGATTGGTTGTTTCTTCTTGGAATACAGATTTGTCAGTTTTAGTATCATTGTAATATTGAATATTTAATTAAATCTACTATAATAAACTTAAAAATTAAAACCCCACTCTTTCATATATTATGCAAATTTTGCTGGTAAAAAAGCCTTGTTAGTTCTAAGATCATAGATGTGTGTAGCTTTAACCTTGAGTCTTGTATTTTCTACAGACCAGTCAAAACATTTGAAGGTCAAATTGTTAAGTTTACTACTTATATCACATATCACATGTAAAATATGAAATATTAGTATTTTTCTGACAAGATGACAGTGTTTTGTTGTTTTGAAAAGTGCAATGAAACAGGGAAGTAATTTTAGGATTGTGACCTGTGGTCTTGGTGGCAAGGTACTTTAGTATCAGAGACGAAAGGGAAATGATAATTTTATAAGCCCATGTTGTACCACTCATATTAACAGTTAATACTTATTTTCACACAATACATACCTCCTCCAAAATGAATGGAACAAATTCTGCTGGAGGAACTTGGAAACCAACCATCTCTTGAGATGTGATCAAGCCAGAGTTTCGTCCACTCGTCATGTACAGGAATTCTGTGATAAGAAAACTTTCACACCTGCATGTTTATCCTTCTGAAGTTTGTACATCCAGGTACACAACAAAAACATCCTGATCAATTGCCTTTTTGTCTGAGCTGAGGAGAGCGTTGTTGTTCTGTCAAACTCATGACGAGGACTGAGTCCAACCTTGTACATCAACCTCATTTATTGTACTTACATCAATCACTTACTGTTCAAATCTTTACTCTGTGTGTGTGTGTGTGTGTGTGTGTGTGTGTGTGTGTGTGTGTGTGTGTGTGCGTGTTAGTAGCTACACCTAAACATCGCTCATATTATATTAAAGAAGTTGTATATCCATAGAACTCTCCTTATTGTGTGATGTTAATTTGTTTAATTTATTTATCTGTGATATGTCATCAACAGAGTCACATTTGACAAGAAGTAATTAGTTTTTAAAACATGAACATTTCTGGGACATGGTGATGTCACTGCAGTAAATGTTGATATGATGCTAGTGACTTATCCTTGGCTACTTGCTATTTTTCCTCACAGTTTTGAGCTCCTAGATTCCAGTGATACTTTAGTTCTTCATGTACAAAATCAAAGCTCCGTAACTCATTTTGTTTCGTCTAATCGCTGACGGTAATTGACATCCAGTGATTGCTTGGGCTAATTAAAATGGCACCGGCTTGCCAATTAAAAGTTGGTGTTTTGTTTCCCTTTAAGCACCCAAAACACCATGTTAACTGTGTTAACTAAATCCTCCCCAGAACATAATAATTGCAGATGTAAATATGGTTTATGGAGACTTACATGTCACATGACCAATTTGTGTTTGCATGTGAACATGTGAGTTTAATTTCGTTTATTGCTTGTTTTTTAAACCAAAATATAAAATATATGGTGCTGTTTTCACGGTAGTTCTCCATGTTACTTTTGTGTGGTTCCGTTTTTGAGATTTGCTGCCATCTTGCTGAAGTGCTGTTTGGCAATAAGCCATTTGTCAAATGTTTGATAATGGTTTCATTATATTCTGTTATAGTTTTTGTTTTCTTTTAGTCAAATCCTTTGGAAGTGATCTCTGTGAACTGTGTCGTACACACCAAGGTGGCGTCTAACCATCCTTGTAAGACGACTGCAGAAGTCTGCTGAAGACATAAGTATCAGGTTATTCACCGGAACACATGTCGTGAACAGGAGCATAAAATAGCAGGTGAATCTCTCGTCTGTATGTTGTCTTGTTCTGGTCTGTTTTTTATTCCACCCAGTAATGGGGTGGTGTTCTACCTCAAGCGTCACTGGTGTAAATATACCCATTGATGTGATAAATAAATAATAAGTGAATTTTATTGGGGTTTTTTTTTACATTGGGAATTGTAACTATCTGACAGGTAACCTTAGCAGGTTGCCAGTCTAGCTGTCAAGATAGATTTTATGTGAATGGTCACCACTGTAGTAAACAAGTTAGATGTTTACTCCAGAATCAGATAAACACAGACTTCCTGTCTGATCCCTGAACATGCTTAACAAGTGACAACAGATTGTTCATTCAGGTTTCAACTTTCATCAATAAATACCAGGTTGGTAGGCTTTATGTCCTCCATTACCAATATTGGGACATTGTTTCCATAGTGACATGTTTTTTTGTCAGATAATAATATGAGTGTGTGTAAAACAAGTCATGCATGAACTTGGTGCAACTGCTGCCATCTATGGACATGTAAACAATATGTTGAGTAAGAGGCTGCAAGGCTAGGTCACATGTTGCACAAGAAATAGCTGAGCATAATCCGAGCGGTGATTATTAGGAGCACTTGATGGATTCCCTGTGGCCGGAACCAGTGTGTTGCTAGACTGACACAATAAGACTTGAAAAGTGACGGAGGAATGTAGGGTACATACAAATACCCAATGAGAATGATATATCATGTTGTAAATTGCATAATTATCTGTCGATTAGATGGTTTTCCACTTTACAAATAACCCTTTTTCTTAGACACTTCGCTAAAATATCAAAGGCGCTGTAAGGATCTGGTTTGGTTTATTATTTCAAGTGATATCATTGGGGCGTAGAGCATTTGAAACTAAAAGGCTGAAAAGTACAGGTGACTAAAGGGCAGATAATTACAGGTGATTAAAGGGCAGATAATTACAGGTGCCTTGTCACATGTTTCGAAGGTCTCGTGGCGACATGCATGGTCGTCAGGCACATGTTCGTATGTTTGTCTTCATGAGAGCGCATATAAAACGGTAAGAAAATTTCATGAATTGATATGTTTGCAATGATTTGGTAATTATATATAAGTTATTTTAAGTAAATAAATGAAAACTATGCAGTCCGTAATACGTTATGACTAAGTTATGTACTGTTGTAAACATTTGACATTACTACTGTATGTGAATCTAAGTTAGTTTTGTTTATTGTTGCAGTCAGTCACATCTCAAGTCAACTCAATACAACCAATCTTCTAAGAATAAAGATATGACGTCGCTCTCTCATAATCATCGTTCGTTCGTTCATTTCGTTCGTACGTTCGTTCGTTCGTTATAATAGGCGCAGGCAGTACTTTATCAGGCTTTACGTCACCCTGTATTGACGTCACTATGCCATTCTTGTCTGCCCCCTTGTAATCAATCGTAACCTTGGTTACCAAGGTCACGATACATGTCAGTTGTCATTGCCTAGTACATTGCCTCGTCTCCTACAGTGCAACTAACTCTGTAGCACCCTGTTACTTGGTTCGCAGTTGCTTCAGTCAGCTTACATTACTGGTGGAAATGTTCCGTTTCCATTATGTTTGATGGAAGAAATGTCTCAATTCGACTCACAATTAAACAGCGACACAGCAGCTTTCACCAGTTAAGCCTATGTGTACAGTCCCACGATGCATCCAAGGAATATCGCGTGACTAGAACGCTTCATCTGGATATACTGATATAAGTTTTTGTTGGAAGTAGAAATGCAATTTTCATGTTGCCTTATATCGTTTACGGTAATCTCAGGTTCTAATTAAAATACCGGTAGTCGTTAAAAGATAAGATATTTAACCCGAATGTAAACCGTTATTTCTTGGTAGTGTGCGTCTTAACATAGGGGAACAGACACATTAATGGAACTTTGTGTACCCCTCTTATACACTTTTCAGAGGGGTACACAAAGTCTGCAGTTTAGACTACCAGTTGTCCGTCTTCGATTTTTGTGGAAGTCGCGATGGCTGAGCTGGTTAGGCGGCTGACTTTGTGTGCTGGCGATTAGGTGCCCAACTCTGACTCTGAGGGTGTGGGTTCGAATCCTGTATGGGACTCAACCAAAAAAAGTTCTAGAATTTGTACTTTACTAAAAAAGTGTAATCCCAAATATAACATATGTTCCATGTATAGTGTAATAAAGTACACTATTGCTCTGAACTATTATAGTTAAAATACGAGCAAGCTTGCATCAAAGTGCTATAGTTAACGACAAAAGCATATTTCTTAATCCCATGATCATTTATCGCCTGGTCAAATTAAAATTAGATGTGTATGAAAGCACCAAAGTCTATTTATGGGAAAAACGCAGCTTTATTTTTTGTGTTTGTTGTGTATCTGTATACACACATTACTAAGTTGCACCAATGACATGCATGTCACTAACAGCATGTTCACATTCATGGTAGTTGCAGCTGTGAGTTTCACTCAGCAACTTTCAGTTTTCATCATGTTGTTGTAAATAATAATGTTACACTCTGTTGATAAGCAAGATACATTTCCACCAGTTTCAGTAATCTCCCGGGAAGCATAGAGGTGTGAGGATGGATGTCTTGGACTGTATCTTGTTGACCATACTGGGCGCCATTGTGGTGTCCCTGTTTGTCATCATCTACCTCAAAGTCACCATGGGTCGGTGTGTGAGCAAGGCTGACCTCTCGGGAAAGACTGCCATTGTCACAGGAGCAAATACAGGTAATGTTACAACAAAGGTGTTTGGGCAGTTTAGGTTGTGTTGGTATGTATTGCAGTACACTGATGTTATTGTGATGTGTGTCTTTAACGTCTTTGAGTGCTTGACACAGCTTGACAGTGGTACAAGAATCTGTATCAAAACGTCACACACACAAATTAAAAGAAGTTGTTATCCATAAAGTTTGTTCAATAATATGTGACTTTGTATCTTGAAAGCTAAGTGTACAAAAAGGGAAGTAGCTCTCAAAGCAAATAAAGATGTTTACCAATGAAGGATGAGTCATTATACATCAGTGATTGAGACATTGGAGCTAAACATCCATTACTAGTTATGGAATGAAGGATAACTAGTAAAATATAGATACATTGTTCACAATGTAATACAAAATACCATAACCTGAATAATAACAGGAATGATTGGATGTTTATCAGGCGCCGGAATGTTACTCCTGAGTAATCACATTTGTCATGTTAGATCAGATCAGTTGTTGTTTGTGTATGTTAGCTCAGTCCCCCCTATGATATTGCTGGAATATTGGTGCAAAAGCTGCGTAAAACTAAACTCACACACTATGTTAGATCAGTGTAATCTGATGTTCAATATTGATTTAATACTTGAGTATAAGTTGTTTATCATTTATGTTATACAAGAGTAATAAGGATCTCAAAAGCTGTTGTCAAAGTAATCAGAAAGTATATTCTGTTCAGGCATAGGTTTCTACACAGCACTGGACTTTGCGACTCGAAACGCGCGGGTCATCCTTGCATGCCGGAATGCACAGAAAGCCAAGGTCGCCTGTGACCAGATCAGACAAGAGACAGGCAATGAAAATGTCACTGTGGGAATCATAGATTTGTGCTCATTAAAATCTGTGAGAAAATTTGCTGAGGAGTTCTTAAAGGATGAGAGAAGATTGGATATCCTTGTGAACAATGCCAGCGTCTTGGGTAGGATTTTTGTAAATACTGATAGCATTTTATGATTCTTGTGAATACTGATAGCATCTTAGTTTGGATTCTTGGAAATACTGATAGCATCTTATGTAGGTTTTTTTTTAATACTAATATGTCTTATGTAGGATTATTGTGAATACTGATAGTGTCTTATGTAGGATTCTTGTGAATACTGACAGGATCTTATGTAGGATTCTTGTGAATACTGATAGTGTCTTATGTAGGCTTATTGTGAATACTGATAGTGTCTTATGTAGGATTCTTGTGAATACTGATAGTGTCTTATGTAGGCTTATTGTGAATACTCATAGTGTCTTATGTAGGATTCTTGTGAATACTGATAGTGTCTTATGTAGGCTTATTGTGAATACTCATAGTGTCTTATGTAGGATTCTTGTGAATACTGATAGTGTCTTATGTAGGCTTATTGTGAATACTCATAGTGTCTTATGTAGGATTCTTGTGAATACTGATAGTGTCTTATGTAGGCTTATTGTGAATACTGATAGTGTCTTATGTAGGATTCTTGTGAATACTGATAGTGTCTTATGTAGGCTTATTGTGAATACTGATAGTGTCTTATGTAGGATTCTTGTGAATACTCATAGTGTCTTATGTAGGCTTCTTGTGAATACTGATAGTGTCTTATGTAGGCTTATTGTGAATACTCATAGTGTCTTGTGTAGGATTCTTGTGAATACTGATAGTGTCTTATGTAGGATTCTTGTGAATACTGATAGTGTCTTATGTAGGCTTATTGTGAATACTCATAGTGTCTTTTGTAGGATTCTTGTGAATTCTGATAGTGTCTTATGTAGGCTTATTGTGAATACTGATAGTGTCTTATGTAGGATTCTTGTGAATACTGATAGTGTCTTATGTAGGATTCTTGTGAATACTGATAGTGTCTTATGTAGGCTTATTGTGAATACTGATAGTGTCTTATGTAGGATTCTTGTGAATACTGATAGTGTCTTATGTAGGATTCTTGTGAATACTGATAGTGTCTTATGTAGGCTTATTGTGAGTACTGATAGCGTCTTATGTAGGCTTATTGTGAATACAGACAGGATCTTATATGTAGGATTCTTGTGAATACCCATAGGATGTTATGTAGGGTTTTAGTGAATTCTGACGGGATCTTGTGAATGCTGATTGCATCTTATGTAGGATTCTTGTGAAGATTGGTGTCTTTGTAGGATGATTTAAACTACAGTTGAAATGTGATGATGTCATGTCTAGGATTCTTGTGAATAAGGACAATGTCTTATATAGAAATTGTTTAAGTATGTCTACAACAGTATTAGAAAATAATCACATTTTCTGTGACAAGTACATGAGTACATGTCTCATGTTTGTAAGTCACTGAGTGATTAGTAAGGACCTTATGATGGACCAGGGATATCAGCCAGAATTACTAATACTTATCTTCATCATTGACAGGGTAGTTAAACAATCTCATGTGGGTCAGTATGGGTCAAGCAAAGAGTAAATGGTTGTCGGTATTTTAAGCCATGTTTCCAATCTCCAGACCACCGTGAACTTTCATTCTGATATGAATTAATAATACATTTCCTTATCTCAACTTTCCTGGCTGCTATATCCAACCATTGCACCTTGATCTTTCTTTAGGTTCATTAATTACAAATTGTTTTCAAAGCAAAGCAACACAATCTGTGCCACAATTCCTAGTTGTAAAGCAAGGCTTGAGAAACACATTAGAAAATGCTACCAGTCTGTCGGAGAGCTCCATGCACCAACCTTGGAATTGTTGTAACATATGTTGTATTTGGGATTACACTTTCTAGTAAAGTACAGATTCTAGTACTTTTGTTGGGTTGAGTCTCATCTGGGATTCGAACCCACACTCTCAGAGTCAGGCACCTAATCACCAACACACAAAGTCATCCGCCTAACCAGCTCAGCCACCGTGGTTTCCACAAAAATGGAGGTCGGATAACTGGTAGTCTAGACTACGGGTAGGCAATGCATAGGGATTGAGGAATGACAATCACCAGAGCATCCATGACATTCACTTTGAAATTCAGACATGACATTTGTAAAGTCATCCATGCTTGTTTTTGATATTAATATATGTATGCAGAGACATTATAGAAGGTCCCACAATATTTTGATAACCCTGATTTATTGTTTGAGAGACACTGAGTCTTCCTGACCAGAGGGCAGTTGGACAAGGGTGAGCATGACTAAACTGTTTGTTTCTGTTGACCAGGTCTGCCCAAGGAAATGACCGAGGAAGGACTGGAGTCCATGTTTGCAGCCAATCACTTTGGTCCATTCTTGCTCACAAACCTCCTTCTGGGTAAGTCTCAGATTATCTCATCTTCTGTAACTGTCCTGTAATTAGTTACCATGGTTACTGGAGAGCAAGTGTAGAATAAGTCTCAACATAACATGCTTTGGGTAGATCAGTATGTAGAACCTGTTTTGTTTCATGTTGGATTCATTTTCTTTCAAAGAACTTTCTCAAATTGAAGTTCTTAGAGCAGACTGATTAAACAAGGCAACCATCTGATCTGGCATGATCACCAGACTGAAAAGCCCTTTTATCATGGACATGGAGATGGTGGCAAGCATTGGATCTTGATTTCAATTGGAAAAGCGAACATTTGCGTTGAATATGTTTATATATTTGTTATGCATCTTTTGTTTACCTTACTTCATCCATTTGCATTCACCAATTCACCATCAGTTGTACTTTCTCAGTTTTGGACTTTCCAAATACTCTGTAAAAACAATATATCTTGCTCTCTGCTAAACCTTACCTTTTATCTAACCTTCACTAAAGATCTGTTGTGTTCATGGCCCTTTTATCTAATGTTCGTAGTAGTCAGTAGCTGTGGTTGATCTTCTGTATAGCTGGGGCTATTACTTTGCATGATATTCACATCAATGGTCATGTGTAGGCTTGTTCAAGAGCTTCAAAGCAGCCATATTGAAAGGACACCTCAAGATCATAAGTCATGATCATAAGATGTAGGTAGACTATAGTGTGGTTTATTCCAGACCACCAGTGGAGGTAAACGTGTGTACATTCTTCGTGATGTGTATTGTTTTTGTTTGTAGTGATGGTCATATAGATGTCCTGTTTTGGGCCAAAAGTGGCCACTCAGCCATTTGTATTCAGAATGCCTGAAACTACAAAAAATAACCCTACCCTATACACCATAATATGTACCCTGGGACTTTATTAAGACCATACAGAAGTTAAATTCATGGTCGTAGGTATAAAGATTTTGTATAGACTGGTGTTGAAGCAGATCAAGGATGTGATCTGGGAGGTTCCATTTGTCCAGAACTTATATCCTTACCTTGACTTGACCTTTGCATTTTGACAAGGCTGTATAATTCTTTCCAATACATTCTTGGTTCTGTTGACATGATCACCTCAGAAATCACTGGACCAGTGGAACTGTAACTACAGGGGTGGAAATAACTTTAAAATTGCTAGTGTACTCCGGAACAGTGGCATATGTAAAATCACTTGCCCTGATAATTTTTCCACTATACCGGCCGTTTTCTTGTTGATTTTTCAAAATAAACAACATAATTAACATTGGAAAGTCAACTGGACACCGGTACGGTGAGATATACAAATTTGCTTGCCCGACAGAAAAAAACACTGGACTCGGACGTCGGGCAATGGGTTATTTCAACCCCTGAACTTCATCTAATTAATTGACGAGGTTTATGTCAGAAAGCTCACTTACATCGCCATTTCAAAATAAATTGCTATAAAATCATAAAAAGAAGTTACATTTTACAAAAATGAACATTGCTGAATGTGTTTTTGTTTCTGTAGATGCAACTACGTCAGTTGGTCTTCATTATTTATCATGCAAAAAACTATTTGGGGTGAGATACATAATATTAATAATTTTTCCTTATCCTGACTCATGCTTAATTGCTTGTCTTCTTCCTCTTGCGAACATAGTGGAACACTTGTATCTCCTTATTGAAGCTCCCTTCATTAAAGCGTACGTAAAATCACTAATCACTACTCACCAAGAGTTGTCCCTCCTTCCGTTTTGGCGGGAACTGGCGCCACTGTTCCCCAACATGCTTCACTCTCTCCTTCTTCGCCCAGTGAGCAGGTTGTGAGAGCGCCTGTGTCTCCTTACGGCACTATATCCTTTGATTAATTAGTTAGTTACCTCTATAAGTTCTTTATACAGGTTTAGCTAGTATCCTTCATCAATATGATTTGATATTTATTCGTATTTACCACTGTTTATTCACGGTGTATTCCGTGTTTGTTCAGTAGTTTACGTTCATGAAAATCTGTTCCGTATGTAAGTTACGTTTCTTTGCTGCTGACCCGCACCTAATATGCCCTAGCTGCACGGTACCATGTTCTTTCAGCTCACGCTGCAATTATTGCAAGCATTTATCAACTTGTGCATTTAATAAATATCTTCTTTGCGTCCTGAGACGTGCCGCAGATAGGTCGAGAAGGATTGATCCAGTCATGGATAATTCAGCTGAGTCCCTCACCAGTCAACTGCTGTCGGACGACCCCCTACCGTCTGGTGTTCCGCTGGAGTTTCCCTCGGAGGAGAGGCGTGGGACGAAGTCCGCCATCTCCAAGAAGAGACCTGCATCTCCAGACATCCCGTCGTCGCAGTCCAAGACTCGGAGGTCATCAACCACCCAGCGCAGACTTCGCACCCCCAGGGCAGCGTCCACCACCAAGGGGAAGTCAGCGCAGACTACTAGAACTTTCTCGGCCGAGATTGTTCCCGTCGCAGAACAGGGCCTGTATGATGATCAGCCGATCATCATCCCAGAGGTTCATCACAAGAAACGACCGGTCTCAGCTACGGTGACTTCAGCGCAGATCCATTCTCAACCCGAAGTATCAACGCTGACAACAGATGATCGTCCTGTGGGCCCCGTCGCCATCAAGGCAGAAAGGGCAGCGCTGGTACCACCGCAGACCTTCCCGGGCGACTTTATGCAGCAGTTCTCCCAGCAGATCATGGACATAATGGAGGAGCGTTACGGCCTAGAAAAGAGACAGCCAGCCCAGGGCCCGAGCCTTCACGAAAGCTCCAACGCAGACATCATCTCTGAGGGGCCTGCCATCAACGTGACTTCTGCCAGCAGAACTACACTACCGGACCAGCCTGCGCGAAGGTCAACTCAGCCACCCCCTGCGGAGGACTCGGACGATCAGCGTTCGCGAAGGCGTTCGCGGAGGGCTACTCGATCTTCACCTGCTTCGGACTCGGATGATCAACGTTCGCGAAAGCGTTTGCGAAGGAGGAATCGCTCATCCCCGGACTCTGGCTAAGACAACCAGCCTTCGCGAAGGACCAGTCGCCACTCCCCAAGTGTGGACTCAGTTGAACCTTCGCCTGTTACAGGTCCTCATCAACGCTCATCTCGACGACCTACAACCCTTCGGTCTACCGAATTACCTCAGACCTCATCTACTATGGTGGACCCGGAGGTCGAATGTTTGCGAAGGCATCTATTTAGCAGAACCGGAGTTCAAGACCCATCTATACGTAGACGCATCACTCCAAGGTTGGGGAGCACATCTCGACAACCATGTGGCAGCTGGGATATGGAACCAGGAAGAGAAACGTCTGCACATCAACATCCTGGAGATGAAAGCAGCCATCAACGCCATACTCCATTGGAGCACCATTCTACAGAATTCGCATCTCATGGTACACACAGACAACTCGACAGTGGCGTTTTACATAAACAAGCAAGGCTCAACAAGATCATTGAACCTACTAGATCTCTGCTTTCAACTGTTCGACCTAATCGACGATCTGAACATCCACGACTTGTACGACGACAAAGGGCGCAGTTTTGAGACCTACGCTGCTAAAAAGGGATTTACAGCTAGAAATGCAACACATCCTCAAGTGGCAGACTATCTTTGTCACCTACGACAAACCAAACGTCTGAAAGGGTCTACACTCTCAACATACCTAGCGGCATTGAGTTCAGTGATAACTATGAGGACGGGTGCAAAGCTAACCAAAGTACCAGAGTTACTGGCCTTGTTACGCTCTTATAAATTGGAGGACCAAAAACAGAGATTTCACGCTCCGGCATGGGACCTCAATATTGTTCTCAAACATCTCACAAGTGCCTTTACGAACCACTGGAGACGACATCCTTTGAATTCTTGACACAGAAAACGCTGTTCCTGCTAGCCCTAGCAACAGCAGCCAGGATGTCGGAAATTCATTCTCTAGATTACGAGAGAACGAGATTTGATGAAAATCAAAACACAGTGCACATGGGACTGCGATGGGATTTTATCGCTAAGAATCAACTGCCAGGTCAACCGGACAGACAATTCCATGTCCCTGCACTATCCTCCATACTCGGACCACATGATACGCTTGACTTATCCTTGTGCCCAATGAGAGCATTGAAAGTTTATCTACATCGATCCAGAATGAGGAGACGCAAGTTTAAATGACTTTTCGTCCATCAACAGTGACACAGACGGAAGTCTCCCGCACTACGATATCAATCTGGATAAGAACTGTCATACTACGAGCCTACAAGGCTGCAGGACTCGATCCTCCAAGAGCCTGAAAATTAGAGCACTGGCGTCAACACTCGCTCTACATGGGAATTGCTCGCTTAACACGATCATGGAGGGCTGTTTCTGGAAATCGGACATGGTGTTTGCAAACCACTACTTGAGAGATATCGCCACCGAGGACGTCTCAGGCATTCACCATTTCGGCCCTCTGGTTGTCGCACAGCAGTTGACAGTTCCCCACAGAAGATGAGACGTAGTCTCGCTGTGTTATCACATGACTTAAGTAGGACAGAAGTAGGACCAAAGTTAACTATTGTGGTGCCCCCATCAAAAGGCAGCTGAAAGAACACGTTTGCTTACAGCAGCAGAATTTAGCATAATTACAGTGCCATTATGAAGTTCCCGTAGGGGGTTTATTTTGACGTAAGATTCACTAATTAAATCCTAAAGTGCTTTTTCCCACCACCTTCCGGCCGGATTCTACAAGCAATTAAGCATGAGTCAGGATAAGGAAAAATATGTAATTTTCTGAATAAAATTGATATTTTATACTTATCCTGACTCATGAGGTAAGCCCTCCCAACCTCCCCACAAGACACTTTGGATTTCCCTGCAAATTCAAGTGTCAGGCTCATGTTCAGGAGAGAGTGAAGCATGTGGGGGAACAGTGGCGCCAGTTCCCGCCAAAACGGAAGGAGGGACAACTCTTGGTGAGTAGTGATTAGTGATTTTACGTACGCTTTATTGAAGGGAGCTTCAATAAGGAGATACAAGTGTTCCACTATGTTCGCAAGAGGAAGAAGACAAGCAATTAAGCATGAGTCAGGATAAGTATAAAATATCAATTTTATTCAGAAAATTACATTATTAAGTGGCTTTGTTTACATTTCAAACTGTTGACTACACATCCGGGTGAGCTGAAGTCATGTATTCTTGGACTGAATCATTTTTAGAAATGTGAACGTTTTTGTGTGTTTTCTTCCACCAGACTTGATGAAGAAAACCGGGAATGCAAGGATCATTACAGTGTCATCCCTTGTGAATAAATTTGGTAAAATAGACTTTGAGAATCTGCGGGCAGAAAAGAGCTTTGACAGATTCCGTATCTACAATGACTCCAAACTGGCTAATGTAATTTTCACAAAGGAACTAGCCAGACGTCTGGAAGGGACAGGTAATTAAAGGCATGACATCTGATCATTTCCACACTCCCTCATACACCAGCATGGCATCTGATCATTTCCACACTCCCTCATACACCAGCATGGCATCTGATCATTTCCACACTCCCTCATACACCAGCATGGCATCTGATCATTTCCACACTCCCTCATACACCAGTATGGAATCTATGATCGTTTCCACACTCCATCAAACACCAACACAGAATCTATGATCATTTCCACGCTCCCTCAAACAGCAGCATGGAATCTAGGATCATTTCCACACTCCCTCAAACACCAGCATGAAATCTAGGATCATTTCCACGCTCCCTCAAACAGCAGCATGGAATTTGGATCATTTCCACACTCCCCCAAACACCAGCATGGAATCTAGGATCATTTCCACACTCCCTCAAACACCAGCATGAAATCTAGGATCATTTCCACGCTCCCTCAAACAGCAGCATGGAATTTGGATCATTTCCACACTCCCCCAAACACCAGCATGGAATCTAGGATCATTTCCACACTCCCTCAAACACCAGCATGGAATTTGTATCTGTGTACAATCTGGTGTGATGTTGTGTGGTTTCTGTGCTACCTATCTTTAGGTTACAGGTCTGATGGTGTGTTGTTTCAGTGCTACCCATGTTTATGTTACAGGTGTGATGGTGTGTTGTTTCTGTGCTACATGTGTTTATGTGACAGGTGTGTTGTTTCTGTGTTTTCAGGTGTGATGGTGTGTTGTTTCTGTGCTACCTGTGTTTATGTGACAGGTGTGATGTTGTGTTGTTTCTGTGCTACTTATCTTTATTTGACAGGTTTGATGGTGTTTTGTTTCTGTGCTACCTGTGTTTATGTGACAGGTGTGATGGTGTGTTGTTTCTGTATGTTACAGGTGTGATGGTGTGTTGTTTCTGTACTACCTGTGTTTATGTGTGTTGTTTCTGTATGTGACGTGTGATGGTGTGTTGTTTCTGTATGTTACAGGTGTGATGGTGTGTTGTTTCTGTATGTTACAGGTGTGATGGTGTGTTGTTTCTGTGCTACCTGTGTTTATGTGACAGGTGTGATGGTGTGTTGTTTCTGTGCTACCTGTGTTTATGTGACAGGTGTGATGGTGTGTTGTTTCTGTATGTTACAGGTGTGATGGTGTGTTGTTTCTGTATGTTACAGGTGTGATGGTGTGTTGTTTCTCTATGTTACAGGTGTGATGGTGTGTTGTTTCTGTGCTACCTGTGTTTATGTGACAGGTGTGATGGTGTGTTGTTTCTGTGCTACCTGTGTTTATGTGACAGGTGTGATGGTGTGTTGTTTCTGTATGTTACAGTTGTGACGGTGTGTTGTTTCTGTATGTTACAAGTGTGATGTGTGTTGTTTCTGTATGTTACAGTTGTGATGGTGTGTTTCTGTATATTATAGGTGTGATGGTGTGTTGTTTCTGTATGTGACAGGTGTGATGGTGTGTTGTTTCTGTATGTTACAGGTGTGATGGTGTGTTGTTTCTGTATGTTACAGGTGTGATGGTGTGTTGTTTCTGTCTGTGACAGGTGTGATGGTGTGTTTCTGTGTGTATGTTACAGGTGTGATAGTGTGTTGTTTCTGTATGTTACAGTTGTGATGGTGTGTTGTTTCTGTGTGTATGTTACAGGTGTGGTGTGTTGTTTTTGTATGTTACAGTTGTGTTGGTGTGTTGTTTCTGTGTGTATGTTACAGGTGTGATGGTGTGTTGTTTCTGTATGTGACAGGTGTGATGGTGTGTTGTTTCTGTATGTTACAGGTGTGATGGTGTGTTGTTTCTGTATGTTACAGTTGTGATGGTGTGTTGTTTCTGTATGTGACAGTTGTGATGGTGGTGTTGTTTCTGTGTGTATGTTACAGGTGTGATGGTGTGTTGTGTGTGTGTGTTACAGGTGTGATGGTGTTTGTTTCTGTGTGTGTGAGGTGTGTGTTGTGTTCTGTATGTGACAGGTGTGATGGTGTGTTGTTTCTGTATGTGACAGGTGTGATGGTGTGTAGTTTCTGTATGTGACAGGTGTGATGGTGTGTTGTTTCTGTATGTTACAGGTGTGATGGTGTGTTGTTTCTGTATGTTACAGTTGTGAAGGTGTGTTGTTTCTGTATGTTACAGGTGTGATGGTGTGTTGTTTCTGTGTGTATGTTACAGGTGTGATGGTGTGTTGTTTCTGTGTGTATGATACAGGTGTGATGGTGTGTTGTTTCTGTGTGTATGTTATAGGTGTGATGGTGTGTTGTTTCTGTATGTGACAGGTGTGATGGTGTGTTGTTTCTGTATGTGACAGGTGTGATGGTGTGTAGTTTCTGTATGTGACAGGTGTGATGGTGTGTTGTTTCTGTATGTTACAGGTGTGATGGTGTGTTGTTTCTGTATGTTACAGTTGTGATGGTGTGTTGTTTCTGTATGTTACAGTTGTGATGGTGTGTTGTTTCTGTGTGTATGTTACAGGTGTGATGGTGTGTTGTTTCTGTGTGTATGTTATAGGTGTGATGGTGTGTTGTTTCTGTATGTGACAGGTGTGATGGTGTGTTGTTTCTGTATGTGACAGGTGTGATGGTGTGTAGTTTCTGTATGTGACAGGTGTGATGGTGTGTTGTTTCTGTATGTTACAGGTGTGATGGTGTGTTGTTTCTGTATGTTACAGGTGTGATGGTGTGTTGTTTCTGTGTGTATGTTACAGTTGTGATGGTGTGTTGTTTCTGTGTGTATGATACAGGTGTGATGGTGTGTTGTTTCTGTGTGTATGTTATAGGTGTGATGGTGTGTTGTTTCTGTATGTGACAGGTGTGATGGTGTGTTGTTTCTGTATGTGACAGGTGTGATGGTGTGTATGTTTCTGTATGTGACAGGTGTGATGGTGTGTTGTTTGTGTATGTTACAGGTGTGATGGTGTGTTGTTTCTGTGTGTATGTTACAGGTGTGATGGTGTGTTGTTTCTGTGTGTACAGGTGTGATGGTGTGTTGTGGTGTGTATAGTGTGTGATGTTTCTGTGTGTATGTTACAGGTGTGATGGTGTGTTGTTTCTGTGTGTATGTTACAGGTGTGATGGTGTGTTGTTTCTGTATGTGACAGGTGTGATGGTGTGTTGTTTCTGTATGTTACAGGTGTGATGGTGTGTTGTTTCTGTGTGCATGTTACATGTGTGATGGTGTGTTGTTTCTGTGCTACCTGTGTTTATGTGACATGTTGTGAAGGTGTGTTGTGTCTGTATATTACAGGTGTGATGTGTGTTGTTTCTGTATGTGACAGGTGTGAAGATGTGTTGTTTCTGTATGTGACAGGTGTGATGGTGTGTTGTTTCTGTATGTGACAGGTGTGAAGGTGTGTTGTTTCTGTAAGTTACAGTTGTGATATGTTTGGTTTCTGTATGTGACAGGGGTGATGGTGTGTTGTTTCTCTATGTTAAAGGTGTGAAGGTGTGTTGTTTCTGTATGTTACAGATGTGAAGGTGTGTTGTTTCTGTATGTGACAGATGTGATGGTGTGTTGTTTCTGTATGTGACAGGTGTGATGGTGTTTGTTTCTGTATGTTACAGTTGTGATGGTGTGTTGTTTCTGTATGTGACAGGTGTGATGGTGTGTTGTTTCTGTATGTTACAGGTGTGATGGTGTGTTGTTTCTGTATGTTACAGTTGTGATGGTGTGTTGTTTCTGTATGTGACAGGTGTGATGGTGTGTTGTTTCTGTATGTTACAGGTGTGATGGTGTGTTGTTTCTGTATGTTACAGGTGTGATGGTGTGTTGTTTCTGTATGTGACAGGTGTGATGGTGTATTGTTTCTGTATGTGACAGGTGTGATGGTGTGTTGTTTCTGTATGTTACAGGTGTGACTGCCAACTGCCTCCATCCCGGCACCATCAGGACAGAATTGTTAAGGAACATCCCCTCCTTTGTACAGATTCCCTTGAACCTGTTTGGCTGTTTGTTCTTTAAGGTTAGAGAAACTTTCTTTTGCATTAATTTTTTCCCAGTGTCAAGTTTAAATTGCACCGAAGTAACATCTGTTGGTCTTTACGTAGGAAAGCATGAAGCATGACCAAATGTTGTGATAATAAATGCTGAGGAAATAGAGAGGATTAGGTTTTGTTCTGCTATGAGGTACATTGAAGCCACATAGGGACATGAGCATTGTGCTGCCTCCCACATGTTGGGACTAACGCCTCTGTTCCTCCATGAGGAATGAACACTTTCACCACCAGGATTATAAATGCATGGATTGAAAATAACATCAGTATAAAAACAGAGATTTCAAAACTTATTCATAGGATATCAAGAAAAAAGAAATTTATGGGATTTTTTCACACATTTGCAAAATACATGTTTCAATTCTTGATGACCAATACCACACTTAGCTCATGTTCATACCCCATCAAGCAAGACATAATGACCACGTACCAAGTTGACAATACCACACTTAACTAATGTTCATACCCCGTCAAGCAAGATGTGATGACCACGTACCAAGTTGACAAATACCACACTTAACTAATGTTCATACCCAATCAAGCAAGATGTGATGACCACGTATTAAGGTGACAAATACCACACTTAACTCATGTTCATACCCGTCAAGCAAGATGTAATGACCACGGATTAAGGTGGCAAATACCACACTTAACTCATGTTCATACCCGGTCAAGCAAGAGGTAATGACCACGTACCAAGTTGGCAAATACCACACTTAACTCATGTTCATACCGGTCAAGCAAGAGGTAATGACCGCGTACCACACTTATTAAGTTGACAAATACCAGCTTAACTCATGTTCATACCCGTCAAGCAAGAGGTAATGACCATGTATTAAGTTGACAAATACCACACTTAACTCATGTTCATACCCCGTCAAGCAAGAGGTAATGACCACGTATTAAGTTGACAAATACCACACTTAACTCATGTTCATACCCCGTCAAGCAAGATGTGATGACCACGTATTAAGTTGACAAATACCACACTTAACTCATGTTCATACCCCGTCAAGCAAGACGTAATGACCACGTATTAAGTTGACCAATACCACACTTAACTCATGTTCATACTCTGTCAAGCAAGACGTAATGACCACGTATTAAGTTGACAAATACCACACTTAACTCATGTTCATACCACATCGAGCAAGATGTGATGACCACGTACCAAGGTGACCAATACCACACTTAGCTCATGTTCATACCCCGTCAAGCAAGAGGTAATGACCACGTATTAAGTTGACAAATACCACGCTTAACTCATGTTCATACCCCGTCAAGCAAGATGTGATGACCACGTATTAAGTTGACAAATACCACACTTAACTCATGTTCATACCCCGTCAAGCAAGATGTGATGACCACGTATTAAGTTGACAAATACCACACTTAACTCATGTTCATACCCCGTCAAGCAAGACGTAATGACCACGTATTAAGTTGACCAATACCACACTTAACTCATGTTCATACTCTGTCAAGCAAGGCGTAATGACCCGCGTATTAAGTTGACAAATACCACACTTAACTCATGTTCATACCATCATGTTCATACCACATCAAGGTACCAATACCACACTTAACTCCATGTTTCATGACCCGGTCAAGCAAGACGTACCAAGGTGACAAATACCACACTTAACTCATGTTCATACCACATCGAGCAAGATGTGATGACCACGTACCAAGGTGACCAATACCACACTTAACTCATGTTCATACCCGGTCAAGCAAGACGTAATGACCACGTACCAAGTTGACAAATACCACACTTAACTCATGTTCATACCACATCGAGCAAGATGTGATGACCACGTACCAAGGTGACCAATACCACACTTAACTAATGTTCATACCACATCGAGCAAGACGTGATGACCATGTACCAGGTTAACATATACCACACACTTAACTCCTCCTGTTCATAATTGAAGAGTATAGATGTTATGCATTTCACAGTACATACGTCTACCTTATTATAGTACACTCCCTTATATATACTGTATCCATGTTCCTATAAACAGGCCTTGCTACACACATGCAAAAAGTGAATACCATGTATCTTATTGTTGCTTGTGTACATGAAGGACATGAAATTGTATATTTATATATAATGATAACTTAAGTGTCATCTTACATTGTTTGTGTTGGCAGAGTCCGGAGGATGGGGCACAGACAACTATACACTGTGGTGTTAGCGAGGAGATGGAGGGAGTCAGTGGACGGTACTACTGTGACTGTCGTGATGCAGATAAGTCTGTCAACCCTGTGGCAAACGACCTGGGCATTGCCAAGAAGCTGTGGGAGATCAGTGAAAAATATACTGACTTGAAATAATGAATGAATTTTTTCAAATATATGCACCTGGGAAAAATTAAGCACCATCCCGTTTTGATAAGGATTTTTTCACGAAGTGTTTTTGCATTAATAGTGCTAATGGTGTTCATTCATGAGTAAATCCACTCTGCAGGTGTATCAAGTGTACACACTAGATTTTACATAACAAATATAGAAGCTGGATCTACCAGTAAATATGTCATCAATATGAAGTTCACAGACTGCTTCATTAATTATTAACACCTGTGAAGATCCGGCTTAGAATTGATATTCAGTAACCAATGCTTGTCGTAAGTGGCGACTAATGGGATTGGGTGGTCAGGCTTGCTGACTTGGTTGACACATGTCATCGTATCCCAATAGCGTAGATCAATGTTCATGCTGTTGATCACTAGATTGTCTGGTCTAACTCGATTATTTACAGACCACCGCCATATAGCTGGAATATTGCTGAGTGCTGCGTAAAACTAAACTCACTCACTCAACACAAAAACTGAATACATTCATACCAACTCAGTGACAGTGATCAGCACAATGAGGCCACACAATCCCCACTAGATTTAGTATCAGGCATTACCTTTGACTGCCTCCATGTACTAGTGGATAGGGCGTCTGCTGGAAGAGTGAAAGATTGGTAGTCTAATCCCTACCCGGGTGATACCAAAATACACCAAACATGTTACTTGTTGTGTCCCTGGTCAGCCCTCGGCACTAAGGAGGCTACACAAGGTCTGGTCAGCTCTGTCAGTATAATGTGTCTGAATAAGGTGTCCCCACTCAGCCCTCGGCACTAAGGAGTCTACACAAGGCCTGGTCAGCTCTGTCAGTATAATGTGTCTGAATAAGGTGTCCCCGCTCAGCCCTCGGCACTAAGGAGTCTACACAAGGTCTGGTCAGCTCTGTCAGTATAATGTGTCTGAATAAGGTGTCCCCGCTCAGCCCTCGGCACTAAGGAGTCTACACAAGGCCTGGTCAGCTCTGTCAGGTCAGGCTGAATAAGGTGTCCCCGCTCAGCCCTCGGCACTAAGGAGTCTACACAAGGTCTGGTCAGCTCTGTCAGTATAATGTGTCTGAATAAGGTGTCCCCGCTCAGCCCTCGGCACTAAGGAGTCTACACAAGGCCTGGTCAGCTCTGTCAGTATAATGTGTCTGAATAAGGTGTCCCCGCTCAGCCCTCGGCACTAAGGAGGCTACACAAGGTCTGGTCAGCTCTGTCAGTATAATGTGTCTGAATAAGGTGTCCCCGCTCAGCCCTCGGCACTAAGGAGACTACACAAGGTCTGGTCAGCTCTGTCAGTATAATGTGTCTGAATAAGGTGTCCCCACTCAACCCTCGGCACTAAGGAGTCTACACAAGGTCTGGTCAGCTCTGTCAGTATAATGTGTCTTAATAAGGTGTCCCTGGTAAGCTGTTGAAGGTATCTGCATATGTTAGTATTATGTCATTGATGGTACAGGTTGTAACGAATGACCTGGGACATGTTAGTGGATACAAAATGTGTCATTACATTATAGAGTTTGTGTTTTTGTAAACTGAAATATTTGCTTTTTGTAAAAGAAGTACAAAAGCGATACCATTTTTACAAAATGGCTATTTTATATAGAAATATATTCTAAGCAGTGTGATGTTTTGTTTCAAGGTGTGTTTTTTTTTAAAATGGTATGGTCATTGTTTGTGGTGCAGGTGGTAGTGTACATGTATTGTGCATGTGTCCCCAGTGTGATAAATAGATCTCGCTTGGGCAATGCAAAATTTCACACTCGTTTCGTATAAGTCGTATGACACACTTGCTTGTGTAATAATTTCTTTATTATCCATTTTATTCATGGACATTTGTGCAGTAAAACACGGTAAACAAGTGTGACTGCCCTGTTCATTGACGTCACTGACAACGAAATACAGAAACAATGGATGCTAAACAAAAGTGATATATATGACACTGGTTATGTTTCCCCATATGGATAATAATAGCAGTTACCCAGTATGTCTCTGGGTTGAATTATGCTATGTGCATTTACTGCAACTTTATAAGTTGTATATTTCATTGATCTTTTTTTATGAGCTCACTAGTCTACATATCACACTGTCTCCTTGTTACACTTTGTAACACTTTGTATGTTTGTGGATAATTCTGTATGATACTGTATGTATGTATGTGTATCACACTGTACACCATGTATCAGACTATGTCTAACATGCTGTATAATATGGTATGATGTTGTATCATATGTTATCATACTGTAAGGCTTTACATCATACAATTTAAACTGGTATGCCAGTTTCGTACTGCATGTCTGAGTATGATACTGTGTATATGTGTTTGATACTGTATGCCTGTGTTTGAACTGTATGTCAGTGTAAGATATTGTATGTCTGTATTTGATTCTGTATTTCTGTGTAAGGTTTAGACTATCATCTAGTCTCTAATATGAACATATTTTCCAGTAGAAAGTTTCTTCATTTTTAGAAACTGTGGTAATGTAGACTTGTCACATGTTCGAGACTTGCATGGGCTTTCTATATTTGTTTCAGTGAGTGAGTGAGTGAGTTTGGTTTCAGGCTGCATTTAGCAATATTCCAGCAATATCATGGCGGGCACACCAGAAATGGGCTTTACACATTGTAAATCGAGCGCTTTAACCACAAGGCTACCCCACCATCCCTATTTGGTTCAGGGTTTGTTGGACAGACTCTGTAAGGTACTGTATGTCTGTGTAAGGTACTGTATGTCTGTGTAAGGTACTGCTTGTGTGGTACTGAATGTGTGTATGATTTCTTTATGATACTGTATGTCAGTGTACCATACTGATATATGATTTAAACTGTATGTTGGCATAGCTGTTTGTCCGGGTATGCCTATTTGATTATACATCTGTTCAGTCCTGTGTTTCCTGGTATATAACGAGTGGAAGTGTTCCACCAGCTCCATGCTGTGTACTACAGCTGATACTTAATAAACATACTGTCCATGTTTCCAGTTTGATTAGTTTGCCTTGTCAGAACAGCCACGGTGTGCTGCTTGCATCTTCCTGACTGGGTCATGATCATCTGATCATCTGTCGTAAATCTTTATCACAGAACCCTTGGGATTGATTGGTGACCTTCACATTCATAATACCACACAACATCTAGGCCTCTGTAGTTGAATGAACGGCTGCGCATGAGGGCCCAGTGATCTCATCCCTGCATCGCAGACCTGTCATATTGCCATTGGCAATGACAAGTTGTGTCTGACCGTGAGATGTTTCCCCATACCATAATGCCACCACCACTAAACTGTTGACGTTGAACAAGGCACGAGTCGGCATACCGTTCACCTCGTCGTCTGTAACACTTGCCCTGCTATCTGAGCTGTCCAGATGAAATCTCTACTGTCAGTGAGCAAATCAGCATCCCAATTTTGTCTCCTGTACAGTAGATGCTGTCTGCACCAAGCTTGACGTGCCTGTCGGTGATGTTGTAGCAAATTAGACGTATTGCACGCCGTCGGGGCCGGAACGGTTATGCTCCCTCAGTCGGTTCCGTACAGTCCTGGAACTGATTGGACTTAAGCCAAGAATAGTCAAACTGGCATCGATTCTTTAGATTGGTCCGCAGTCGAATGTGGTTGTCTTGCAGGCGTGACATCACGCGTGGACGGCCGGTCGGCCAGAGGCAAATCTCTGGCGTTTCCATTATGTTGAAAACGTCTCCATAGAGATGAGATCGCGTCTCGATAGACACCAAAATGCCTGGCCACTTTATTTTGGCTCATTCCAGTCTCCAGCATGCTCACGGCACAAAGACGCCAATTTCCTGTAAGCCGTGGCATGAGCTACTCGCAGTTTAGGTTGATTGGGTGTTGACACTTTCGTTCATACCATTAACATCTGCTTTGTTTATTGATTTATCGATCAAATTCAAATATACGAGGCTCTTGTCGGCGCGATAAAATGTTCCAATCAAATAGTTTGTTGATTTACATTTAATTTGTATCCATATCGCCTAAAGCCCGGTCACATACAAATCATTCATTAAGGACGCACAAATAGTGTCTTTCACACAGGCTGCTGCACCGACTCCATGAGTTTGTCTTTATGAAATGGTGGATGGAAGCCAGGGCTACTTACATCGATGTTGTTTGAATCGGAAGTTAACCAATTTTCTGTTAGACATATTACATCATAAAATCCGAGTTCAATTCTTAAAATATCTAATTAGGGCTCCTTGCCTCTAGGCAGGAGACCTATTGTAATCGTTCGGATTATTATTATTATTTATTATTCAGCCGATTTTTGTTCCAAACATAACTCCTAAACCAATGCTCCAAATCACACAGATGCCCACCGAGGTGTAGATATTCCCCTTAAAAAGCTCTAGGCTCTTGGCCCTATAGCAAAGGGGCGATAATTCAAAATTAATTCCAAAGTTTCAACGTTTGACAGCAAATATCTCAAGAACTAATTGTTCCGACACTTCCAAATTTCTTGTACAGATGCACAATCGAATACCCAACAATTTTGCCTGGACGGGTCAAGTCGCTAAAACGTACCGTTTGGCAGTTATTTTTGTTTTCAGCTTTTCTGAGTAGTTTGCTCCTGGCGATTCCAGAACACTAATTGTTTTGAACGTAGACCCAAGAACAACTGAGATACAGCCTTTTAAAGAGGGAACTATTTCTTCTCCGGAACTACTTAAAAGAACATGACCCCTGTGACCCAGGCTGTATTTGGAAGATCCGCTCGCCTGTCAAAACATGTGTTCTGGCTCCGTTTTGGACGATGATATCTGGCCCTCAGATACAATAGATGGAAAGTAAAGCCAAGGAGACCTCATCGTTGCCCGCAACTATATTCTCTCTTTAAGACTATGAACATTTAAATGGACAATCATAAAATGTTTTAGGCAATTGGGTCCTGGATTGGGACGATCTCCACAACACAATATCAATAACGAAAACATTAAAGAAACACGAATACCATACAGACATTTGAATAAATGTAGATAAAGTGCAATTCCACCTCCCTATTCCGTACTTCGGAATCCCATGAGATGTGCGCATGCGCAATTGCTTCAGTACGCTCGCGTTTTTGCTTTAGTTCAGAAGAATTTACATCGCTCTCATATTTTATCTCTCGGCGCTGAGATAAGAGGATTGTTTGGAAGAAGAATTGTGGGAACTACGAGTGTAGTCCCAGTGGTGATTAATCTCGAGTCTTTTGGGGTAGACACGCAGTGTCCGTGGTGAAAATTGACTCTTTTGGTTTTTGACCGAGACGGCCCCCTGGTCGTGGTCATCCCTGTCATGGCGGCTCTCCTGGGGTCAGACAAGGGACCAAGCACTGACTTGGAAAATACTTCTCGACAGAGTATTTTTGAGATTGTGGACAATATCAGAGGAACTTTGATTAACCCAACCACTCCTGATCTAGGTATGTCAAACTGTGCACAACTTTCTAGTCCCTCGGGGACTGGACAACCTCAGGGGTCGAAGGTCAGTGACAGGGTTGAAGCCACAGATGCCGTGGACCATCAGACTGATAGACAGCCGTCTTTCTCATGGGAACACTGTATGGAATTCATGATGGCCAGTCAAAGAGCTCAGTGTGCTTCTATGGAGAAAATCATTGGATCGGCTATTTCTAACTGTGGGAAAGTTATTTCTCAGCAAGGGGTTTCGGGTGGTACCGAGCAGACCCGAAGTTCACAGATCGTGGCTTCAACTTCGTGAGTGGAGATGACACCGAGATTCCCGAAGTGGGCGGATGCAACTTCGGGGATAACCAACATGGCGGCCCATGATGTATACAGTGACGACGAAAGGCTTGTTGGAGACGATTCTGAGTCGGATTGTTTTGATTCCCTTCAATCAAACCTGTGCAAAACCAAAGAAAACCCGAGGGCGACAATATCATAACTCTTATGGCTGATTTTCATGAGTTCTTTGGAGAAGATGACGATACTTGAATCGTGAGAGAGGACCTGGCCAAATCAGTGAATGAGGGTATGACTAAGAGCGGCACATGGGAAAATTGAAAGAGGTGATGGGGAGATACAAGAGACCTAAGAATTGTGAGGCATTGAGGGTCCCAAAGGCCAATGAAGAAATATGGCAACAGGCCAAACCGGCTACGAAGACTAGAGACTTGAGGGTCCAACAGACCCAGGGATTAATGGTGAAAGCCATGATTCCCTTAATCCAATTAACAGATGCACTCATGAGTGCCATAGTCACAAAATCAGAAGTGGACATTAAAGACACACTCATGAAAGCTACTGATTCAATAAGACTCCTTGCAGGGGCTCATGGCGATCTAAATACCAAGAGACGCGAAGGGTTTAAACCTGATCTCAAAGGCCCCTACAAAAAACTGTGTTTTGCTATGCCAGGGAAGAATTCAGGAACATATCTGTTCGGGGATGAACTTGGAAAACGCATCAAAGACATTTCTGATGCCAGTCAGCTTGGGTGCAAACTTGGCCAAGGCACATCATGGCAACCTAGTCGCCACAGATATAGGGAAAATCAGAGATTTGACCCCTACAGGCAACAGACACAACCCCTCAGGACAGGAAAGGGTTTCCCCAACAAGGTTAAGAGCTCCAGGGGCAGAGGAAACCAACATGGGTTTTTTTTAAACCGACGTCCCAGGGAGGACAACTTCAGGAAATAGCGGAAACACTAAACAGTGACAATAGTGCAGAGGTGAGAGACTTATTACACAGTCTATCTAATGTGCCACAGAATTTCACTGCAGGCAAAACTAAGCAGTTTGTGCATCATTGGTACAGTGTGACATCTGATAACTGGGTTTTATCTAGTGTGGCAGGAGTTAGTATTGACTTCCTTGAGTTGCCAGTTCAACATTATGTACCCAAACCTATCTTGTTTAATGAACAGGAATGGCACCAAGTAGACTGTGAGATCAATGAAATGTTAGCCAAGGGTATCATTGTTGAGTGTTTCCATGAACGTGGGGAATATATCTCCAGCATTTTCACAAGGGTTAAGAAAGACAATTCCTTGAGGGTTATCCTTAACTTGCAGTCACTTAATGGTATCAGGGAGGCACACCACTTTAAGATGGATACTTTCAAATCTGCCTTATATCTTGTTCGGCAGGATTGCTACTTTGCATCAATTGACCTGAAAGATGCTTATTTTTCAATACCGTTCAGGCCTAGTGATCAAAAATACCTGCGGTTCTACTGGAATCAACAACTATACCAATTCACATGTATGCCTAATGGACTATCTTCAGCCCCTCGAACATTTACAAAAATCTTGAAACCTGTTTTCTCTACAATGAGGAAGCAGGGTTTTTCCAATAGTGCTTATATTGATGATTCAATACTGGTTGGGGAAGATAAAAAGCACTGTGCAGACAATGTCACTCAAACTGTTCGACTACTTGACAGATTAGGTTTCACCATTCATCCAGAAAAATCTGTGCTCACACCAAGTAAAGTGATTACCTACCCTGGTTTTGTTATAAACAGTCAGACCATGACTGTAAACTTAACAAAAGAGAAAGGGGAAAAAATTGGCAACAGTTGCAAGAATGTGTTGAATAAGGAAAGTGTGTCAATCCGAGAACTTGCGTCTTTAGTGGGGCAGCTCAATGCCAGTGGATATGGCATGAAACATGCACCTATTTTCTTTAAGAGAATTGAGAATTTTAAGAACAAGAGTTTGTCAAGGTGTAATGGCAATTATGAAGCAATTGTGCAGATAGATGAGGCATGTAAATCAGATCTGCAGTGGTGGATAGACCAAACAGGGAAATGCCCTCAGCCTATTACCATTCCACAACCTGATGTTGTAGTACAGTCTGATGCTTCAAAGAGGCTGGGGAGTGTGTGTGGCAACGATAAAACAGGTGGGCTGTGGTCAGCTATGGAAAGTGAGAGACACATTAATTATTTGGAAATTTATGCCACCTGGCTTACACTTCAATCTCTGTGCAAAACCTTCCGCAACACCCATATTAGACTTATGCTGGACAATACCACAACAGTGGCATATACCAATAATATGGGTGGATGTAAACAGACTTGTAATGATATTACGAGGCAGATGTGGTTATGGTGTAAGGAGAGGAACATATGGTTAAGTGCAGCACACGTACCTGGTGTTGATAACTCTGAGGCTGATTGGTTTTCGAGGAATACAAGGGATGATACTGAATGGAAGTTAGATACTGATGTGTTTGGGACATTAGCTAAAGTATTTGGTGCTCCTGAAAGAGACTTATTTGCATCAAGGCTAAATAATCAGGTGGAGAGATATGTATCATGGTCCCCAGATCCAGGGGCAGAAGCAATAGATGCTTTCACATTGTCATGGGCAACCTGTTATAATTATGTTTTCTGCCCATTCAGTGTGATTGGACGAGTAGTTCAGAAAATCAAGATGGAGGCAGCAGAAGCTCTCATGATAGCACCTCTATGGTCAACACAGAGCTGGTTCAATTCGCTCCTAGAATTGTCAGTCGACTGTCCTCGATTGCTGCCCAAGTCCAAGCACCTCCTGACACTCGGCCATCTACCACTGAAAGTACACCCACTACTTCAACAAGGCAAGTTGAAACTGGCGGCCTTCCGCTTGTCCGGGAAGTCCTGCAAGGTCAAGGAATTCAGGGCTCTGCTGCAGACATCATCTTGCATTCATGGAAAGGTACCACCAAGAAACAGTATAGGACATATCTGCGAAGGTGGATGCAATTTTGTTGTGAAAGGGGTATTAATTCCATTTCACCATCTTTAAATGATGGTTTGAGTTTTTTGGAGCTTCTTTATCAGAAAGGACTGAGTTATTCTGCTATAAATTCAGCACGGTCTGCGTTATCATCTGTAGTAAAAGTAGATAATGTGCAATTTGGACAGCATCACCTTGTCATCCGATTTATGAAGGGTATATTCAATTTAAGGCCTAGCTTCCCCAGATATAACGTCACATGGAATGTATCTGTTGTTTTGCAATATCTTAAAGCACAATCTGACTCAGATTTGAAAGAGCTTACTACTAAGTTGGCTATGTTACTGTTATTATTGTCAGGACGTCTTCAATCCCTCCATTTGATAGACTGTAGAAATGTAGATATTGTAGACAATAGTATTAGGATTAGATTTGGAGATTTATTAAAGCAAACAAGACCTGGACACCATCAAGAGGAGATAACCATCCCTGGATTTTCAGACAATAGATTATGTGTTGTTAAGTTGCTCAAAGACTATGTTCATGTGACTAAAGACCTCAGAGGAGATGAAACTGCTTTGTTTATTGCAGTACAAAAGCCTCACAAACGAGTGAGCAAAGACACTATTTCCCGATGGATTCGAGGTGTTCTTGCTGCTACAGGAATAAACCTGGCAATGTTTAAGCCTCACAGTGTGAGATCAGCCTCAACAAGCGCAGCTGCAGCTGCCAATGTGCCACTCGCCACTATTTTGAGGACTACTGGTTGGAGTAACCAATGTGTGTTCAGGCAGTTCTATGATAAGCCTATATCTGACAATGGACAATTCGGAGAGACTTTATTGTTAATGGCTCAGAATGATAACCCTTAAGTCTCACCACAGAAACACTTATTACCTTGTTTGATTTATTGCATAATGACAACATGGGTTGTTTAGTTGTCTTTTTCATTTGATCAGTCAGTGTTGTGATCATATGTTTTAGTAGTGCCATGTTGACCTAGTAAATTTTGGACAGCAGTGATCTTGTGTTTTGTTGTGGATTATGTTGAAAATATGATTTTCTCTAAACATCTCATGGGATTCGAAGTCACGGAATAGGGAGGTGGAATTATAAAATTAAGCGAGACTTACCTGTAAGTTGAAGTTTGATAATAATTCCACCGACTTATGGAGTACTGAGGGATCACATGCCCACCCTTCCCATCCCTGGGATTATTGGTTAAAATCATATTTTACTTTAAAAACTGAAGCAATTGCGCATGCGCACATCTCATGTGATCCCTCAGTACTCCATAAGTCGGTGGAATTATTATCAAACTTCAACTTACAGGTAAGTCTCGTTTAATTTTATAAATTTACCTGAATGTTTGGAATGAAGAGCTGCAGCAAAAATACCAACTGCCTGTCTGTATTTTATGGTGTCCTATAATTGCCATCGCGTGGCGCGTAAAAAAAGAACTACGTCGTGGGCGACGTCGCATAAAAAAGACAACGTCTTGCGCGACTTCGCTTTGTAAAATATTTTTTGGCCACAAAAATAACGGGCGACGTCTGACTATATCGAGGGGTTATCGCCTCTGAACGTGGCTGACCAAGGTTACGTCTAAAAGAAGAATCGTTAAACGAAACAGGATTTAAAACGCAAAAAATGCTTCAGTCACTCCCGACAAACATTTCTGTCGACCAGAAAATGTTTTTACACCTATATCCAATCAAATACCACCCTAGAAGGCCACTGTTCATTGTATGTAAGGCATACTCATCTGCAAATGAAACGATCTCTTCCCTACACTCTCAACATAATCACCGCCACTATTTTTCGGCCCGGCATACCTAGGGCCGTCAAAAGCAGCTTAAACCTCGCACATGTATCTTGAATTGTGTTTTTTATTCACAGGTCCGCCCGGAGAGCGGAAGGTCGCGGGTTCGATCCCCGACCGCGTCATACCAAAAGACGTTAAAATATGGTACTTGTTGGTCTCTTCCTGGCGCTCGGCATTAATGGGTACAACAAGGACTGGTCGGCTCGGAGTCAGTATAATGTGTCTGAGTGGGGTATTCATGCTTCACTGCGGCGTGGTATCTCAGTGGGCTAGCACTATAAAACCAGCTTACGTCTGGGCTAGTACAAGCAGCCGCACATACACATACACACGCATGCACACGCATGCACGTCGTCATATGAGCGAAATATTCTCAAGCACGACGTTAAACCCAATTTCACCTCACCTTTATATCTACCTATATATAACTTTTCCAGCCCTTTTCTCTCTCCATTTTCAACATAGGCTCAATCAAATGTGTGAAGTCTCTGTTGGACCCACTTGGCCCGGGCTGTCAAAAAGCAACTTAAACCTCACACATGTATCATGAAATGTGTCCAGATTCATAGGTTAGGATTATATCTACCTACATGTCACTGTATAAAGTTCCAAAACGTAGTATTTGAAGCAAACACGTTGCCCAACAGAGTTGACAAGCGTTCGGTGTGGCTTGGCCCGGACTCTAAAAAGCACCTCACCTCAACCTACACCTCACATGTGTATCTGAATTTTGATTAAATCCATATAGTCCATGGACTGATGTAGGTGACACACACCCCAACACACACATCCGGGGAATTTTGAAGACTATATTTTTTGGAAAGCTTATCATATGTACATTCAAATTCCAGGTGTTTGCAGTCTGGGTGCGGGGTATTTTTCCCACCGTGACCCCACAGGGGGTCAGGGTGGGAATAATTTGGGAAAATTAGTTTTTGCTTTTTTCACAAATTACATTCTAATAACTGCTTTCTATCAAAAACTATAAAAATATTTAAGGTTTATTGATTAGTTACAGGTACAGGAAGACATTTACTTTGAAAAATGCATTGCGTCTAAGGGAAAACTAAAACTTTATAGCTGTTTTTTTACGCTTTCTAGTTGGCAATTGTTTTAAGAAGGTATTCTGGCTTCAATAGCTCTAAATTGATCAAAATTAATGTTACAGGTATACTCAAAGCATGAAAAGACTTTGAGATGGTTCATTGTAGTCTGGGTGCGGGGGATTCTTCAGACCGTGACCCCAAAAAGGGGGCCAGGGGAGGGCTATATTTTTTTCACAAAATACATTCTAATAACTGCTCTTTATCAGGAACAATGAAAATACAATGTATTTAACATTTATTACTTAGTTAGAGGCACAGGAAGACTAACTTTGAAAAATGCATTGCTTAGAAGGGGAAAATGAAACTTGAAAGCTGTTCTTCTACACTAGTTGCAGTTGGTTTAAGAATGTATTCTTGCTTCAATTGCTCCAAAATGATCAAAATTAATGTTACAACTATACTTAAAGCATGATGGTTTATTCTCACTTTGGCTTCCTTTAATATTGAGTTACCATTACTGATATTTATGTACCTTTATTGTGTCCAGAAGACTCTCAATCTCACCTTCGTCTGAATCCTCAATTCTACTCAAATCTAAGTTCTTGCTGGATATTATGTCAGTCAACCCTTGTGGAAGGATGTTGCCTATGGTCCATTGACATTTCAGAGCATTTACTCCCTCTTTCAGCCACCCATTACCCACAGGGTGAGCAACACTGGGGTGATTCTTGCCAGCATTGACCCAGATCAAGGCCTGGTGATGCTCGCTGTATGTGCATGTGTAGGGAGTCTCTGCAAGGTCTCTACTTTTCTAGTGTCATATCTGAAAGATTTATTCACTGTAGTTCTTGATAATGGTAAATTCCCATCGATATGGAATATAGGTATGATTGTTCCTCTGCTCATGTCTGGGAGTGTATCTGAACCATGCAACTATGGTGGAATATCTTTCAAATATTTCTGGAAAATTATTTGCTAATATTTTAGAAAGGCGTTTACGTGCCTGGGTTGATCCAAACCAGCTACTGGACGAGGCTCAAGCTGGTTTTAGACCCGATTATAGTACATCTGATAACTTATTTATATTACAATCATTATATACAAAATACCTATGCATGCCTAGGTGATTGTATCGACTTTGATTTTGTTGACCGTAAGAAATTGCTATTCATGTTACATACCAAATGATGCCATGGCAAAATGTATGATATTTTAAGAAGCATATATGACTCTGTTTGCAGCCTGTGTTAGAACTAATTCTGGCAACACTGAAACGTTAAACACTTCCGCTGGTGTGAGACAAGGCTGTGTACGAAGCCCCTTACTCTTCATCTTTTTTGTTAATGAACTTGTAGATAATATGTATAAATCATGTAATAATGGAATATTTGTTACTCCAAAATCAAGGATTTACTTTTACTTCTGTGATATTGTTACGTTTTCATTTATGGTAAAAGGTTTGCAGAGACAGTTGAATATTCTTCAAACATTTTGTGACACATGGGGTTTTAGAGTTGAATATGGATAAATCTAGTACAGTTGTATTTAGAAACGGGGGTATAGTGGCACATTCTGAAAAATGGTCATTCCGTGGCAAAAATATGAATGTTGTTTTATATTATAAATTTTTGGGTCTTTTATTTTCCAGCCGATTAAATTGGTCCATGGCATGTAAAACCCTCGCAGCGCAAGCTAAGAAGGCATTATTTTCCATTTTCAAACATTATTTGGCTAATAAGTTTGTTTTAATTGATTCTACTTGCTTCCTTTTTTACACTAAAGTAGCACCAATTTTATCCAATATGGATCAGAAATATGGGAAGCAAATTATTTCGAAGCCATTGAAAATGTCCATGCATCCTATTTTAAAAGATTTCTTACAGTAGGTAAAATTGCTTCCAATAAAGCCGTACTTGGCGAAACAGGACGCTATAACATGCATATTGAGAGTCAAATGAGTTATTAGATACTGGGTTAAACTTATAAGAATGCCTGATTATCGCTACCCCCATCAAAGCTATCAATTATTGTTATCACTAGATAAATGTGGAAAGTGTTCATGGGCTTCAGATGTGAGAAATATGTTACTTTCAACCGGTTTTTTTAATGTTTGGTTTAAGCAAGATGTTGGCGATATTAAAATGTTTTTGTCAACATTTAAAAAAACAAATAAAAGATAGATATATTCAGAATTGGTACGCATCAGTCAATTCATCCAGTTTTCTTAGTCATTATTCACAATGTAAATCGATGTTCGGACCTGAAAAATATATCAGTGTTCTTAATGATAAGTCCCTTTTAAGGAATTTAAAAATACAGCGTTTTAGAAAAGATAATAATACATTGGAAGATTTATCATGTTCTTATTGTTCTTCTTGTAAAACTGAAGACGAACGTCACTTATTAGTAGTCTGTGAGGCTTTCTCTGCCTGTCGAAAAAAGTATCTAAAATGCTCTAAGGATGCCCCACAAACGATATATAATGTGCTTAATTCTAATAATGCTGATATTATTAAATCTGTTGCCATTTTCATAAAACATTTGATTTCCATCCGTAAATCACATGTAAAACCATAATTTCATGTCACTTGACCAATAGTTGTAATTGAGCAACTTCAATTGTACTCTGGGCCACTGGGCCTTAACTACTGAATAAAACCTGTGTGTCTGTCTGTCTGTCTGTCTGTCTCTCATTGTCCAGGTACTCCATCAATGTCAGGTGGTTATTTGCAAGCCTGAACTTCAAGGTATCTAGTCGTTCCTCCAAATCTCTGAACTTCTTTTTGGGGACAGTATTTGGCCGGCATTGTACTGAAGCATCTTTGCCGCGTTCATTCCTTGTTCATCTGCGAAGAACTTGGCCATCTCGAAAAGGTTGGGATGTTGTTTTCCCACAACCTTCTTGAAACGGCCATGCCAATTGCAACACCCGAGGTTGTTGTTTGTGCGGGGACCGTCAGTATTTTTTGTCAGTCGAAAAGATTCACTTTGACTTCGCTGT